CTCCCCCCCCCCCCCCCTTTATATTTAAGCCTTTTTTCCATTTATTTAATTATTTTTACTACATTGAAATTTAATATACAAAGTCAATGACGGGAATATTTTTTTTTAGTTTCGTAATTTAATATCTATGGTTAATCGCACCTTTTAGTGCGGTGGTTATATTTAGTAATCGACGATATTAACTTTTTTATATATTAAATTTCAATTAGTAAGCAGGTTTATTGCAAACTATTAAATTGGGTGTTTTTATAAGGCTATGTTTGTTTTTATTTCAAGTTTTAATCTACTTCAAATATATTTTATTGATGTATTTAGTTTAATTATATTATAGGTCGTAAATGATTTCTTTTTTTCTTTATTTCCCTTTCGATGGGTATTGATGTAATTACAGTATTGACCCTCAGACGATGACACGCCTTTCGTGAGGAAAAAAGTCGAATTTGTGGGACAAGGACAAGGTTGTCCTTTCGTAGAAAATAAAACCCATATATATATATATTATATATGCACACACACGCGCGAAGAAAACCCATATATATATAATAAAAACATTTGTTATTTGTTTTTGTTATATATATGAAATATCAAAAAAAATATATATACACACACGCACGCACGAAGAAAACATTGATCCGTTTTTATTTCTTTGAAGTTGAGTATAAAATTAATTTATGAAGAAAAAGTATAAATTATAAAATTTTTAGAATCTGCATTGTATAAATAAATCAGACATAAATAGAATCCGTGGGCTTGAATGCAAATCCGTATCAAACAAGATAATTATTGTACTTGTATGAATTAATTTTATGTTTTTATTTATTTGATGTGAACATTTTGAACTACTTTGTTTTTTGTTTTCTTTTATTGTATGGGCAAAACGACACACGAAACCCATATGTATCATATTTATAAAATTATTAATATATATTGTCACATTATTCTAAGCCACATTGTGAATTTATTGGTGACAACGATTTCTTTTATTTAAATTAATGTTTGTATATGCACCAGTTTTTTTTGGCACATTTCTGTAAAATGATTTATTTAAATATCTACTATGTTTAAAGTTTCAATATTTGAAATTTTTTGATATAAATAATACGTTACATTTTTACGTTTTCAACATACTTAAATAGTATATAGATATATATTTTTTTTATAAACAGGAGGTTCACTTAAGACCCATTTAATTTTTCTATATCCGGAATCAGCCTTTAGTTACGCAATTAATTGTGGAATCGAATCCATAACATTAAGAATGATTTTATCTATCTTTGGATCACAAACTGTTGAGTTAATATTATATAGATATTATTTCAATTGGGATGTGAATAATTCACATATATCTTTTGAAACATTTTTTTTCCAAAATTTCGAACGAAAATAAAAACATTTAACTCAAACTAAATCATTCCATATAATCAACAAAAAATATTTAATAAAAAGGCAATTTGAGTTTCGTGGAGTCTTTATGTTTTCCAAAAAAAAAAAAGACTAAACAAACAATTTATTGATTATATATAAGTAACTAATTAATATATAAAAATAAAATTCCGAGGTTTTTCCTCTATCATGAGAAATTTTGTATTTTTTAATGGTAGAAAAAAAAGGATTTATTGCACCCAATGAGAAAATACACAATGTGTCTAAGAAATTCCGCTTACGATCTCTTGCATAAGACACGAAGATTTATCCACACGCTCTTTAAAAGAGCGTGAATCACACACACACACACAACGTTTCCATCCTGTAAATATATTTAATATATACACACATAATGATATTTTATAGTAAATATACCCATTTTAATCATATGTATATTTCTAAGAATGTGTTTAGAAATAATATGAGTGTGTATATATATGTATTAATAAAATATAAGATTCAAAAAAGTTTATATCGATACGTTTTAAATTATTATTTGTATGAGGAAAATGCTTTTAATATTCAATTTGTTTGAAACAATAACATCTAGATCATATAAAAAACAATACGAAACCAATATAATTATTTCAAAAACTTCAATTTAATTCGAATATATAAACACGTATTTACCCCAAAAAAATACATATATACGGTACGAGGGTGACCTATTTATTGAGGCGCGTGAAGTGTACGCGGGCGAGTGAGGAGTGGCATAGGTTGTGTTCTTGTAAGAAAAATACTGCTTCCATCACTTAAAAGGACAAATAAATAATAAATAAAGCCTTGTAGGAAAATAAAAAAGGAAGCCACTTGATAGGTCATGCAATGGCCAATCCAACGGCTACAAAAGCATTTGTCTGAAAACTGACGGCTGAGATCTATTCTAAAGTCACTGTCTATGGAACTGCTGAAGCAAGCGAAATGAGATGTCTCGGTTTAGCGTAGTAGGTGAAGAAACCCGGAAAAATAATGTATATAATAAGTGAAAAAAATACAATAATGGAAATCCAAATATAATTAAATGCATTTCATATTTGTTTATTTTATAATTATATTCCGATAGAATAATCTTACATTCTAATTAATATTTTTACCGAATAGCGTAAATTACTAGGTTGTGACCACGATTAATATATATATATATATATATATATATCAATTTTCTATTATTTATTTCTCCGATTTGGTAATTTCTATATTTATTTTACAATATTTTATTATCGTGTTACAACAATATAATATAAAATCGTACAAAATTTTCTACATTTTTTTTTAATCTTGTTATGAACTAGTGAATTCGACGGATATTTGGAAAATTAAATAGAAACCATTTATTTTTTTTTTATAAGATAGGGTTTTGGATATGGGGATAGTTTCATTGATTTGATTGAAAAAATATATATTGGATATAATAATAAAAATAACTGTTGTTTTGATGTAATTGTTGAAAGTTGAGTAAATGAAAAAATGGAAGGCTTTGACTGAGAGAGGTTGCTTCTGCTACATGAAACGTGTACTGTCATCTCCCCATGGGATCTTTCGGACCATAACATCCGTATCTTCATCCACCAAATGTCGGCGACCTGAATATTTTAACTAAACAACAGTTTTTTTTTTATTATAAAAAATATAAATATTGGAAGGGAGATTAATATGATATATATTTCGAGCGATTTCAAAATGCAAAATAATCACCGGGAAATAGCAAAAGGTTTGAAATGGAAAGGGTTACGATTAAAGTGTCAAAAATGATACCAACATGGTTATATTCAAATTCAGTTATTTCAATTACATAAAAATTATAACAGCTCGGATTTTTATATCAATTTCAATTCAAATCGGTTTTAATTTTTTTAGATTTACAAAAATTATAACAGTTCGATTTTTATATCGAATTCAATTTGATTTTATATCTAATTCGGTGCGATTTAACTATTCGGTTAATAAAAGTCGCTTGATAACCAAAATAGCAACATATATTCATTTCAGAAGAAAATCTTTCAGACAGACATCTGCTCGGTTTTGCTAATACTTTGGAAGAAAAACCGGTTTAACTCTACTTACCGGTAGATAACCGGCTAAACCATTTCCAAACAAAACTGTGATTAGCATCAAAGGAGTAAATATTCGATTTCTTCTTGGATCTTCTCACTGTGGCGTCTTCGTCATTCAATGGTGACCTGTGTGCGTGAAAATGTTTTCCACGTGCCAAAAAATTCAGAGCTAGTGGAATACAAACCAGATATTGCAAAACAACAGAAAAGAAAGCCGGGCAAGGAAGACAAACCTTGTGTTTCTTTTTCTTCTCTTTTCTTGTCTTCTTTTTCTCCAATTTTCTCTTCTTCTTCTTCTTCTTCTGGAGCTTGGAGGTTTCTACCTCAACTTCGGCATAGGACCCCTGCAAAAGACGAAGCAAATTCGAGGAGGGACCGATGGATCAGAACATATCTTTACAGTCTCGTTCCTCCTTTCGGACAGCAGTTCGAGAGATAAAGATTGTAGGAACCTCACCTCGGCATCCTCGAATTTGTCGACATGTTGAATAGTTATTCCTGAATTCGAAGTGCCACCTGACACCATCGAAGCACAAAAAGGTTACACCTTTGCTCATGTTCATCCGAAGAAGCTCGAGGAATTTTCAATTGCAGCCGTATATGATCAAGTGAAAAACTCCGCACAGGCAACTTTTCCATAATGGAAACGGAAAGGAGATTATTCTACTCTCGTTCGTGCAGTGAAGAAACCATCATACGGATTTCCATCCATCAAATAAAAAATCTGGTCTATGAGCTAATTTCTCAATCCTCAGAGCTAAATTGGGTTTGAATTAATTTCCTGCATTTAACACAACTTCAAGATGGCTCCAATTTGATACAGCGTCTTTCCTACTCAGAGAAACCACCATAAGCGATGCCCTTGATCCAGTTCGAGCAACAAAACCCTAAGGAATTAAACCCTTGATCGCAAATTCAAATGGAAACCTAACAATGTCGGAGAATTTCGCTATGTCAACACAAACCAAAGGATGGAACAGAAGATACTCACTTGAAAGAACGGTCTCTCGGGCGTTTCTGACGGCCAATTCGACAAGATCGGGATTGATGGAAGCCAATCCATTAGGATCTTGGAGCTTCCGTTCCAGGAACTTCGCTAGAGCCGCGGCCTTGTTCGTCTTCAAGGGCCCACCGGGATGCGCCAATCTATATCACAGTGGAGCGAAATCCGTGGTGGTGTAATGATGCGTTCGAAAAATCAGCGATTTGGAATCGTAGAATCGGAAGACGAGAAGATGAAGATTCCGAGATAGAAAACAGCAGAGTATGAAATTGGTACCTGGGTTGAGAGCGAGAGGAAGAAGAAGAAGAAGAAGAAATAGAGGGAAGAGGCGCGAATTTGCTTCCTCTCAGAGCTCTTCTCTCGTCTTCGCTCAGCTCCTCCACCTCCCTTCTTCCCATTCTCTCTCTGGAGAAAACTGAGAAGTTAGTATAGAATTGTGGGTCAATAGATTCTACCGCTGAAGAACCCTAATTTCTCAAGACCTATGAACCCTAATTCAGTCAAATTTCAAGCTATGATTTTTAAAAAAAATCATCTTAATTTAGTAGATAAATTTCAATTCTCAAACTATAAAATCTGAAACTCAAAATTTATAATTGATCAATAAAATAAACAGAAATTTAATTATTGAAATATAAATTTCTGATGTTGAAAAAGGAAAACAAATGCAGAAATTGGCTGTGTTTTTATGTATTTTTAAAAATAAAAATAATAAGTTGACGTGGGGCCAGTGAGTTGGATCGAAACGGTGCGTTTAAGGGAAAGCGAGACGGCGTCCAGAAGGAGCCTCTCCGAAAGATTCAACCAGCCTCTCTTCCCTCAGATTTCCGCCGGAGCTCCAAATCGGAATTCCACCGGGAAAAGGTGCGACGAAGCGGAGCGTAAAAGAAGGATAAATGCGGATTGAATCAAGCCAGTTTTGCTTCGATTGTCTCGAGCAACGGATCAAGTCAGATTTCTCCGACCAGGTCTTCTTCTCTTTTGGCCTGTCCGATTCGCCGCTTCCCTTCGCCTCCGCTGCCATCGTTGAGGTCTCCCTCTCCTCCTCTGTTATTTATATATTTTTATGTATGGAGACTGGTATGTGGATTAGTGTTCTTCCGTATGTTTCATGAGTTGAGTTCTGTTGAACAATTGGAATTAGAGCTGCTTTGGTTATGGTGGTGTAGGTTTCTGACTCTAGCGGTGAAGCATCTGCTTCTTCTAGTGAATCTGCGTGTCCCCATTTCCTTTTGGAGTATCTGCAGAGGGAAGAACATGGTTGTTTATCCAAATATGTGTATGGTCACTCTTTTGGTTTGTTTTCAGTACTCAATATTTCAATTTATCTCTACCTATGACACAAAGAACTGTTTTTGCAGCGGCGGAAGCTGTAATAGAGATCAGGAAGATTGTAATGCAGATGTAAATTGTGATGGTGGGGAGCATTTGAGTTGCTCACCCAATGGTTCTCAGCCTTTCGAAGAAATTGCAGATGACATTTCTCGTCGAAGTTCTACTTGTGAGTGCTCTGATAGTGTTTCCTGTCAGGAAAAGATTGGTGTGATTGCACCAATTGCTAAAATTGGCAAATGTTCTGCTTCTGGTCTTCAAGAGCTTGCTTCTGGTTTCCTTTCTGGGTGTGTGGAAGATCAAGTATTAAGTTCTCTGAATCTTATTATCGACGGAAAGGCTTCTGAGCAAGAAAGCACTGCTTTCCTTCGTCTTCTCGGGTTACCATTGTTCGTGGAGAAAAGTGACCCTCTATGCCTGAGGCATCCGAATGTGTCACCTATCCTGGGATTATTGACATCATCGGATTGTGTTGTCTCGGTGCTTCCCAAAGCCCCATATTCCTTGGAAAATATTCTCTACTTTAGCCCCGATGCTATAAAGTCCGAATGGCATATAAAATTTCTGGTATATCAGCTTTTGTCTGCACTAGCTTACTTGCATGGCTTCCAGATTTCCCATGGGGATGTTCGTCCTTCCAGAATAATGCTGACTGATTCACTGTGGATTTGGCTAAAGATCTATGACAAGCCTCATTTTAGTTCTGAAGATTCCAATTTTTCTGCTTCAAGGAGAATTCTATGTAGTGATGGTTGTTACGCGCATGACCTTTATGCTGATCGTAAGCTATCTTCAGATTTGGACTGGCAGACTCACTTTGATAAATGGTGGAGGGGAGAACTAAGTAATTTTGAGTATCTACTCTTCTTAAACAAGCTGGCTGGGCGAAGGTGGGGTGACCACACATTTCATCCAGTAATGCCATGGGTCATAGATTTCAGCAAAAAGCCTGATAATGATAGGGACTCAGGCTGGCGGAATTTAAGGAAGAGTAAATGGCGATTGGCAAAAGGAGACGAGCAGTTAGATTTCACATATTCAACGTTCGAGATTCCTCATCATGTATCTGATGAATGCCTGTCTGAACTGGCTGTTTGCAGCTACAAAGCAAGGAGGCTGCCACTGACTGTTCTGCGAGCGGCAGTTCGTTCAGTGTATGAACCTAATGAGTATCCTTCTGACATGCAAAGGCTTTATGAGTGGACCCCTGATGAGTGCATTCCTGAGTTTTATTGTGATCCTCGCATTTTTTATTCACTTCACCCAAGTATGGCTGATTTGGGTGTACCCCCTTGGGTGAGCAGTCCTGAGGAGTTCATTAGATTGCATCGAGATGCTCTAGAGAGCCCCCGTGTTTCATCTCGACTTCACCACTGGATTGATATTACTTTTGGTTACGAAATGTCAGGACAGGCGGCTATTACTGCTAAGAATGTTATGATGTCTTCGTCTGAGCCCACAAAGCCAAGGTCCATTGGTCGCCGCCAGTTATTTGTCCAACCTCATCCCATCCGTCGAGGTTTTTCCTTTAAGCAGGAAAACAGCAGAAATGAGGTAGAAATGCATACATTTCAAGGCAGTGGATTGGACTACGAAAGAACCATCATCCTTGAAGCTGGTGAGTATTTGGAAGAATCTGAAGAGGCTTACACATTTTCTGAACATGCATTGGATTTAAGTCCCAGGTATGACCTCCTTCATCAGGAGTCTCTGGTGTATGAGTCACCGAGCATGAAATCTAACAAAGACTTGACTGATCTCCCCGGTACTTCAGAAAACAATGTTTTACCAACTGATATCAATCTGGATTATCTTCTAGAGAAAATAGAGGTGAAAGATGAAGATCGTGTGGAATTGCAGGAGTTGTTACTATGGCGGCAAGAGTACAACTCAGTAAATTTTTCCGAGGATATTGCAAAAGATATTTTCTCTGTTGGCTGCATCTTGGCTGAACTTTATTTGAGGAAACCGCTTTTTAACTCAGTCTCATTGGCTAGCTATCTAGAAAACGGTGTCTTACCTGAATTGATCCAGAAACTTCCTCCTCCTATAAAGGTATTTGTTGAAGCATGCATTGAACAAGATTGGAGAAGGTATCTTATAATCCATTTTTGGTTTTGAGATACTTGATTTTCTTCGCTACTTCATTATGCAATTTTATTTGGGCGGTCTGCCGATGAACAAAGCTCGCTTGTGCATAACTATTTTTTCTCTACAATTTGAAACATTTAGGAGGCCTTCAGCGAAGACTCTTTTGGACTCTCCGTATTTCTCAGCAACAGTGAAGTCAGTTTACCTATTTACTGCGCCACTTAACCTCTTGGCCAAGCATAGAACACGTCTGTATTATGCTGCTAGTTTTTCCAAACATGGAGCCTTGAAGGCAATGGGAACATTTGCGGCTGAGATATGTACTGATTACTGTTTGCCACTGGTCACAGCACCTCTATCCGACAAGGAGTGTGAATGGGCTTATGTACTTCTCAAGGAACTTATAAGATATTTAACACCAAAAGCAGTGGAGGCACAAGTCTTGCCGTCTATCCAGAAGATTTTACTGGTATTCGTAATGTTGGTTTATGCTTTGGTTCACTGTGGAATTCTTAGATATATCTTCCCACTTTTTCCAAGAGTTTTGAGTTTTTCGTTATGTGAAATTCTTATCTCTGAACAATTCTCAAATGCTTAGACTGCAGGTTACTCGCATCTAAAAGTTTCTCTTCTTCAAGATTCATTTGTGAGGGAACTATGGGACCGGATAGGAAAGAAAGTATATCTCGAAGTGATCCATCCTTTGGTCATATCAAATTTGTATAATCCTCCAGAGAAGATCTCTGCTTCTGCTGCGTCTGTGCTGCTGATTGTTTCCAGCGAAGAGCTTGGCGTCCCTGTTACAGTCCATCAGGTCAGACAAGAAATCTTGTTTCTTTTTCTTCCACCCACCAAGGCTTTTTTGTTTATTCCTTCTGTCGTTAATTTGTGATTCGTTTCTTAATTTATATTTTGGATACTGACTTTTTGCTGTTTACAGACTATACTGCCTCTAATTAATTACTTTGGAAAAGGGATCTGCCCTGATGGGATTGATGTGCTGGTTAGAATTGGTACACTATTTCTATTGGTTCACATGATTATGCCCTATCTGAAATTTTCATTCTCTGCTTACAGATGATTTTGTGTTGCATTTTTTCAGGTCGACTTTTGGGGGAGAAGTTCATTGTCAATCAGATGCTGCCATTGCTTGAACATGTTGCTCGCTTCTCTATCGATGTTTCTTCTATGAAAAAACCAGAGCCTGTTCATAGCTGGTGTTCTTTGGCACTGACCGATTGCCTAACAACGCTAAACGGTCTACTTGTGCTTGTATCTGACGAGTTGCTCATTCAGGAACTGACCAAAGTATATTTTCTCTTTTGTTTTTTATGTTTGAACTGTAGGCTTATATTCATTGCTAGGTCGATGTTTATTGGTCTTTTGTTTTGTCTTATCATAATGCAGGATCGATTGTGCCTGCATGTGAGGATTCTAATGCAGAAAAATCTAGAGTTACGGGTCCTTCAGGTATTTGGAATCTCCTTTTTTTTTGTCATACCAGTAACACTTGAGCAAATGGAAAGGAATTGAATAAATAATCAAGAACTTAGTGTCCCACTGTTTTTAGTATAAAATTCTGTTGGTATTACTATTTCTGATGTTCAACATATGTAACTATTGCGATTTCTATCAGGGTTCGTCTATAGTCCTTTAGTGCCTGTTCCATTCACATGAACTGCATTAACTATTTAAATTTTTTCTTAATCTCTTGCTGTTTTCAATCTTCCAGCTTGCTGCAACTTCACTAATGTCAATTTGTGAGCGGATAGGACAAGAGTTGACCGCATTGCATGTGCTGCCGCAGTTGAAGGAGCTTTTTGATGAGTTTGCTTTCTCTAAGCAAACCACAGATGATTCTGGTTCATTGAAGTGGAAAATGAGGGCTAATGAATCTAATACCCACGAAGAATCTCCTATCAAAAGCCGTATGGATCTTGCGTGCGTGTTTCACTTGGATGACTTTCAATATTTTATTTATTAATCTTTTTATGTGCTCATTATGCTAGAGCATCTACAGGTTGCTTCTCTATCCTTCTTTTGCCTCTCTTCTTGGTATGGAGAAGCTACGTCAGGGTTGTCCAACTTGGTTACTCCTTGAGCAATATCTGCTAAGGCATCACAACTGGAAGGTAAGCCATCCTCCTACAAGAAGAAGTCCTGTGTTTTTTATGATACATTTAAATCATAAAAGCAATATACGTATATGTTTTATTTATCTAATCTATTGTGATTCAGTGGGAATACACAGGAGGATCTTCTCGATATGGTTTGGAGAATTCTAGTGCCAGACATGCGTTGAGCAAAGGCTCCACATCTAAGCACACTCCTAAAGTGCTTCTGAATGGGGTTGGATGGTCAGTTCCACAATCTCAGGGGGTACGATGTTCCAAAAACTTGAAATCTCAAACACATCTCCCGGTTGATGGACAAGAACCAGTTCTGAACCATTTGGCACGTGAACCGTGGTCCTGGTTTCCTAGTCCAGTTGCTTGTTGGGATGGACCTGACTTGATAGGTCGCTTTGGGAGCCCTAAAGATGAGCATAGATGGAAAATTAGAATGTCCGTTGTATCATCTGTTCGTGCCCATCGTGGAGCTATAAGATCTTTAGCGGTTTGTGAAGATGAGTGTACAGTTTTCACTGCGGGTATTGACCCAGGGTTCAAAGGAAGTGTTCAGAAGTGGGAACTAGCAAGCTTAAGTCGCATATCTGCGTATTATGCCCATGAAGAGGTTCGTTCCTTATATCATTCTCTCACCTCTCTTTGAAGAACTGAATACCGGCAAGGTATTGAGGATGCCCCGTCTGACTGTTTGTTGCATATTTTTAGGTTGTTAATGACATCAGCATTATGTCATCCTCCGGAAAGATAGCATCTTGCGATGGAACTATACATGTGTGGAATAGCCAAACAGGAAAACAGATATCCTTATTCTCCGAGTCACCTTCGGATCATGATCAACTTTCCTCCTCTTCTTCTTCAAGAACTAACTATGATCAGGGTAACAGACACACTTCTCATTCACTGTCAAGTGGAATCTTTGATGGGAACATGTACACTTGTATGCACTATTTAAAATACGCGGATCAGCTCGTTGTTGGAACTGGGAATGGTGCCCTCAGGCGAGTATTTTCCTCTGGACTGTGGATGAAGCAATTAACTACGAGAGAAGCTTGTAACTTTCTCGCTCATCCGAATATTTTCTTATATGTATAGCTGTTACCATGCAGATTCATTGATGTAGTCCGAGGCCAGAAGCTTCAGATTTGGAGGGGTGAAACTGTTGAGCCCGGGTTTCCATCTCTTGTATCTGCGTTATGTTCAGGAGGGTCGGATACTAGCCGAGGAGACGGGGCTTCAGGATCACTGTCTTGGATTGCAGCTGGCTTGAGTTTTGGCCAGTGTAGGCTATATGATGTGAGGAGCGGGCATGTTATTTCTTCATGGAGAGCTCACGATGGATACGTGACAAAGGTAAAGTCAGATTTGCCATTACGAAAATGAAAATACGCTTAACACCAAACATGGACTCTCTCTCATCTTCGCCTTTTTTCTCGCAGCTGGCTGCACCCGAGAGCCATCTTCTCGTTTCCAGTTCTCATGACAAGACTTTACGGGTCTGGGATTTGAGGAGGTATGAAACACTTATTCATAAGTTGGCTATAAGAATTAGTAAATATAGCAGAAAATATACACCAACTCTCTGGTAAAAAAAAAAAAAACAGGAGCTGGACACCGGAGCCTATTGTGTTCAGAGGCCACAAAGACGGAGTGTCTGGTTTCTCGGTCTGGGGCCAAGATGTTATCTCCATCTCCAGAAGCAATATCGGGATTTTCTCGCTATCAAAGCCTCCTGACGAGGTACCTTTCCTTTCCCTTAAACCCTAACTACAACTTTAATCCGGAAACAGAAACCCTCCCATGTTTTGTGTTATATAGCTCTATGTTTTCTTTTACTACGGACCAAAACCTCAATCAAATAGAACAGTCAGCTCGTTCGGATAGAAACAGAAACAGAAACAGTAAAGGAAATACATATACGCCTTTGAATGCATTGGTTATGTGCAGTTAAGTATTAGAACTTGATCATTGAGTCATTTTTCAGTCGGTTTCTTGAAATTGTATCGAGAAATACTCGGTTTAATTCCTATTCGATCGATCTGCAGGACGGGCAGTATCGGATAGAGCCTCGGAAGCTGAGCATTGGGGAGACCGGAGGACGGAACAAATCGGTGTTATCAACGGTTAATGTTTTACCCTTCTCGAGACTGTTCATCGTTGGAACAGAGGATGGCTACTTGAGAATATGTTGTTAACAATGAACTCAGTTTATTTAGTGATGAAAGTTATACAAAAGAGAGAGAGAGAGAGAGAATGATGTTTTGTAAATTGCAAATGAAAAACATTTCTTTGTAACTAATTTTGTTCATATTTTTAAGGTTTTTGGAAGAACAAGTTTTGTCTTGTTTTTTTTGTTTAATCCAATTTGTCATTTACATTACCTTATAGAATCATTAATATTTTTAAAATATCACTAAAAATCCAAACTTCCCTAAGAAAAAAACTATATATATATATAGAACTGGTTGTTCATGTGAATATCAGTTTTCATGACTAAATATTTGTGTTACCGTAATATATAAATTTATTTTATTATATCCTGCAAAAGTCAAACGGGGTCAACGCGGCGGATATATGAAAATGGGCCGGGGATATGACATTGGGCCATAATTTAAACCCAATGGGCCGCTGCCACGTGGGAATTCATGTGACTTGCGTGGCGGTTACTACTTGTTTGCCGTCTCCTTATATATTTCTAATTCATCTTTTTCTTCTCAAAGAAGCAAAGCGAAAAAATCAAAAAAAGGAAGGGAAAAAAAACACGAATTCTGCTCTGTAGAGCATTTGCTTCGATCGAACGAATCTGTCGCCAGAAATTAATTTCATGGGGAAAGTGAAGTGTTTCAAGGATCGATTCTCTTTCGGTTCGTCTCTGGATTTCCTTTTTCTTTTTTCCTCATTTATGATTCTGTGATTTGCCCGCGATAATGTGCGCGAGCGAAATTCGTCGGGTTTTCTGAGTTTTGACCGGTGGTGTTAGATTTTTCAGATGAACGAGTGAACGAGTCTAGGAGCATCATTGCTAAATACCCAGATAGAGTTCCGGTGAGTTGTTTTCGCTGAAATTTTACACGAATCGTAGATTCTTTGATTCTCTCGTTTATCGTGTTGACTTGCCGTACGATGGTAGAAGAAGCAGTTCGTCTTTTTTCTCCTAGCTTTCTTGAATTGATGATATGGATACACGCGTATGTAAATATATTCGTCCAATTTCGGGTATCAGATTTTCTGAGAGTTCATATCATTTTGAACTTGCGTCAAATTGAGGCCCTTCTTTATTTGGATAATGTAAAGATGGTTTCACGAGTGATTGAATGCTAAGATTCGAAGGGCATGGCGTTTCTCTGGCAGGAAGAACGTGTAATAAGAAAATCTCCCTGATAAGAAATTGTTTTCGTTCCATTATGTTGGTCTTTTACTAATCGACTCAAAATCTGGACTTCGGTGTTTTTTGACAAGGCTATTCATTATCAGAACTTTTTGTTGCAAACCCGAGTTTGAGTTTCGTGATATAGTATGGGTGACAATGCTTTGATCACCTGAGATCTCCTTGAGCTCCCTGTATCTAGCTAGCATGATGGCCTTGATGATCTTTGATATATTGACTATGGATTGTCAGAGATCATTAATATCCTATGAAGAGGCCAGAATTTCTTTCTCAGCCCAAACTTGTAGACGAAAATCTCTGTTTTGTTGCTCAGCCATGGCTAGCTACTTTGGTTTCCTTCTGTATTCTTTGCCTCCCAGCGAGAACCTGTACCTGCATTGGTACTCATCTTCCATCATTTTATCATAGTGCGTTGTGTATGGCCGTTATACAAACTCTCTGTCTATCCACTTTATGAAATCACACTTGTACATTGCAGGTGATCATCGAGAAATACTCAAACACAGACCTTCCTGACATGGAGAAGAACAAGTAAGTTCCTAACATACAGATAGTAGACAAAACTCATATCAGTTGTTCATGTGTTTCCCTGTTTATTGACGGAGAATCATTTGATCAATCTTGATCTATACCTGCAGATACCTGGTACCGCGTGACATGACTGTTGGGCAGTTCATCCACATTTTGAGCAAAAGGCTACAGTTAGATCCAGCAAAAGCTCTTTTCGTCTTTGTACAGAACACGTTACCTCAGACCGGTAAGCATTCTCCTATTTCTCGCCATGTACCTGCATTCTCCTTTCCAGACAGATTGCATATCCCTTTTCTTCTACCGGTATTCCTTGCTGTTTCTGTAGACACGCCGGACAACCAATTTGTGTCCTGTAAAACACGTTTCCGAGGCTCTCTTTCCTCTATCGATATCCTTGTTTCCCGTATAAGTTCACGTTGCATCCTGACCCGATTGATAAAACAAACGTGTGCAGCTGGTCGGATGGACTCTGTCTACAACAACTTCAAGAACGAAGACGGGTTCCTATACATGTGTTACAGCACAGAGAAGACCTTCGGCTGACTCTCATTCTCTCCTAACAAAACTCAAACCAAATAAGCAATTGGGGAACACTCTTCAAGATCCATTTCTTTCATTTGTTGCTGTGAATAATGTTGTTTGTTTGTTTGTTGTTCTCTGACGTCGCTGTACATTAAAAAAAATGACATTTGACTCTGTAAATGAACTGTCAACACAAAGGAATAATAAAGACAAATAAAGGGATTTGGTTCGGAAGAACACTGTTTCGTGTCGGATTTGGTTTGGTATGGTAATGACTAATGAGGCAAAGGCATAGAAGATTTCTTGGTAGTCACGGCATCGTGTCGTGTCCCTCACGGCTTGTTCTGTTTTGGTTGAGCAATAATAATTCATTTGGAATGTGATCATGTTATTTAATTTGATTTGGACACTGTTATATATGTATTTGGATATTGTCAAGGTTTAATGTAGCAGTTTCTATATTTAAAAAATTAAAAGGAATTTGTATAAAACTATTTATATATATATTATTGAATTTGGTTGAATTTCGTGAATGCCACCAACCTTGGGCAAGCAATTCATTTGAAGCTATAATGTTTTGAATTTGAACACGAATATTTGTTATGTTTCGGATAAATAATGATTTGAACCAAAACCCAAATATACCCCCTAACGCATAAAAGCCCATTGGTCCGATTACTTTATCTCATGGGCTAATATTCAGCGTTTCTTTTTTAGTTATTTAATCGAATTTTGAAAAAACCTACAAAAAAATAACTAATTTTGGGAGAGAGGGGTTTGGGGAAATTAAAAAGAAAAGTATTAAAATGACATTTCTTTTTATTAATAACGTTTAGGAAAATCCGATTACACAAGAGTGATGAAACTCTTTACCTAAAGATTCGGGTCAGTGATGATAATTGATCTTAACCTGAAAATTCACAGTTCTGTCTCCGTCTCCGACCATAACGCCGTGAACTCCCGACGGCAACACCTTGTACCCTACCGCGTCGACAATGGCGAAGCTCTTGCAAACGTTCAGCTCGAATCTCACGTTCTCCGTCTTCCCTTCCCCCACGAACACCCTCTCGAACCCCACCACCTGCTTCGTGTGGGCCCCTCTGATCCCCGCCGGCGGCTTCGAGTACACCATCACCACCTCTCCTCCGTCTCTCTTCCCCACGTTTTGCACCCCCACTCGGACCGCCACCGTCTCCTCGCACGCCAGGTCCTCCACCACGACCGACGGGCAGATGGTGCTGGGCTCGACCTCTGGGTCGGTGTAGTTCACGTGGCGGCAGTGCTGGTTCTTGGCGATCTTGATGTTGACCGGGATGATCTGGTCGGAGCGAGATGTCTGGTACTTGAACTCGGTGTAACTCAGTCCGTACGCGAATGGGTACACCGTCGTGCCGTTGAAGAACTTGTACGTCCGGCCAGGGTACCCGAATTCGTCGACGGGACGGAGTTTCAGAGACGTCATGGGAAGCTGGTTCACGTAGTTGGCTTTGTGCCATGTCAGTGGCAATCTCCCACCTGAACATGATACAAGATTTGATCATATAAAAGATGAGATCTTTAGACAGATCAATCGTTCAATCGTAGAAAGTTTGAAACTTTTTTCGGGCATAAGAAGATGGGTATCCTCAGATTTATATATTTACCAAAGTTCAATCCTCCAATTTTCGAAAGTTTGAAGCTTTTCATGGATAAGAACGTACCCGGGTTGTATTTTCCATAGATGACGTCAGCAATGGCGCGGCCGCCTTCTTGACCAGGGTAACCGGCCCAGAGAATGGCTTTGATCTTGGGATGGTCCTTGGCGAACGTAATGTCGACTCCTCCGGCGGACATGATCACAAGAATCACCGGAGTTGTCGCCGATTCGGCGATCTGAGTGATGAGGTCTTCCTGATACCCAGGTAGGTTAAGATCGATCCTGTCTAAATCCTCAGCCTCCACGGTCAAGTCAAGCCCAGCAACGATCACCGTGGCGTCCGCTTTCCCCGCGGCCTGAACCGCCGGAAAAACCATCGTGGCGTTCTTACAGAGTACATCGCCGCAACCGGTCGCGTAGGTCACCTCGGCGTAAGAGGAGAAGCCCTGGATAGGCGATATGTACCGGCACGGGACGCCGGCATAGTTTCCGATCATCGCCTCGGTGGCGTTAGCATGCGGTCCGACCACAGCTAGTTTCTTGTACTGGCTTGAGCTCAGTGGCAACGTGTCGTTGTGGTTCTTCAAGAGCACGATCCCTTCTTTGGCGACTTCCTCGGCCAGCTCGATGGCGGCTCGTGAGCAGATGTCGGGTTTGGTCAGGGACGCGAACTCGGGTCGACCATCGAAGAAGCCGAGCCTCATCAGTACGATGTATAGGTTCGTTAGTGACTCGTCGATCTTGGACTCACTGATCTGACCTTGGTAGACTGCTCCTGCTAAGGCTTTCCTGTATGAACCTCCACAGTCCAGATCAAGACCTGAAACCATGGAAAACTCGGATCAAATCCTTCTGGGTCAGATCCAGTTTGTGTTTTTTGCTGAGTTATGTCAGAGTACCTGCTAACAGGGATTGTGCCGCGGCGTCCTCGTACGTGTCATCGAGCCATTTGTGAGCTTTGACGATGACATCAATGGAGTCGCAGTCGGAAACGATGTAACCATGCAAGTTCCAGTCATCTCTGATGGTTTGCTTCAAGAGCCTGTGGTCGGAACAAGTGGGAATGCCATTGACGCGGTTGTAAGAACACATCACACTGCTCGCATCTCCTTCCTTCACGCACATCTCAAATGGCGGCTGAAACGTCTCCATCATGTCTTGCTCTGTCACCTTCATTCACAATCCCACATCGGAGGAAAAAACACAAAACGTTTCAGCTTTAGATTATCAGAGACAACGAGATCGATCGAGATGATTTCGGTTTCGTTTCCTTACCCTTGCGTCGAAACTGTATCTGTCAACACCGAGCCACTTATCGACATCATAAGCCGTGTAATGCTTGCAACAAGCAGAGACTTTCAACGGTCTGAAATTTGGATCTGTAGTGTTTAGAGTTCCTTCAATGTCTTGTAGCCCTCTGACAAAGTTAACGGCGTAACTCCCGACAACGTAAGGATCTTCTCCGGGCGTCTCCAAGGTTCTTCCCCATCTCGGATCCCTCACGACATTGATGTTCGGGCTCCAGAACGTTAACCCGCCTTGTCCCAGATTGTGCATTGCCCTGGCTTCGTTCGAGATCGTCTGCCAAAAACCGAGAAAAAAAAAAGACAACAACGTTTTCAGAACATTACTGATCAGAATCTGTATCGAAACTTGAAGCGTTTTCTCGGGCGAAAAAAAACTCGAACTTACTTCTCCGATCTTCCTCCAGAGAGAGCGGTTGAAAGTGGCGGCAGAGTTGATGACGAGGGGGAAGCTGGTGGCACCGGGGACAGGGCCACCGAACGTGGAGCCGCCACCGACGTCAGAGACGCCGTGAAGAGCCTCAGACCACCACTCGTAGGCCGGGAGACCGATCCTCATCACGCCGGTGGTTTTATCACCCATCTGCTCGACCTTTTCAGAGAGTTTCATCCGAGCCACGAGGTCTTTGGCCCTCACGTCGAAAGGAAGAGACTTGTCGCAGTAAGTGTACTCCGACATGTCTAATCCGATGTTCGTGAATCTGACAGGGTCGCAGACATGAGTGTAGTTCAGAGGAACATCTCCCAATATGGCTGCAGAAGAAGAGACAACAAACGACAAAAGAAGAAGAAACACAGGGGGAATGGACTTCTCCATTGTTGTGGAAGTGACGAGAGATGTTTGGAACGGAGGGGCTTTGAGGGGGTTTATATAGTTTTTTCTGTACATTTTCATGTAACTGTACGTTGAGATTTCCAGTGATTTTCTTGAAGATATTGTCCGATTTTATAAGATAATGCAAAGAGACAAAAGTGGATTACAAAATAACAACGTAAGACTCTTTCCTTCTCTCCCAGTTCAAATACAAAAAATAAAATACCCTTCTCGCTCTCTCCACAATTAGTCACAAAATCCCTAATTTCTGATTTCATCCCTTTTATGCTTCAAACATCCTATCCAGACATGAACATGACGATGATGATGATGATGATGATGACGATGATGAGGATGCCTACTTTTCCTCAATGGTTATCTGCTCCAACCTTGACATCAGTCCAGTTTTTGTCCTTAAGATTCACTTTCTCTACAGAGCAAGATCTGAAAGTTGTTGACTTTCCTGTTCCAAGTAATAGATCTTATCATTCATACCCTCCTTCTCGTACGCCTTGATCATAATCTCGAAGGTCCTCGAATCGGGTTTACAGTGTTTTCCTTTCATTCCTTCATAAACCCTTTCCATCTCCATCAAGTCATCGGCTTTCGCGCAGGCGGATATGACCGCATTGTAAAACGCCGTGTTCTCGGGTATCTCGAACTTAGCAGCTAACTGAACACTACTGATAACCTTGTGGAAGAGACCTGCATTTGCATATCCATTTATCAGACAGCAGAAGGTCTTCGTGTCCGCTTTCATGCCCTCTCCACGCATCTGATCGAACGTATACTCCATGTTTTTGGCGTCCCCGACATCAGCAAAGACCTCGATGATGTTGTTGTAAGTGGCTGTTGTCCATGGAAACTGAAGCTTTCGCATGTATTCCATCACCGACGACATCTTGTTGTACATTCTCTTCTTCCCGTAAGCACCGATCAAGATGTTGAAAGTCCGGGTCTCCGGCTCAATCCCGAAGTTCCTGAATTTTTCGTACCACTTCTCCATCATGTCGATCTTACCCATGTTCCCGAAAACACTGAGGATGATGTTCATAGTCCAGACATCCGGTTTGCACTCCTTGTTCTCCAGCATCTCGGACAAAACCTTCTCCATCTGATCAAACCTTCCCACCCGGCCATACCCACTTAGAACTATGTTCTGTGTAACGGTGTTTGGAGTTATCAAACGCTCATCCATTTCCACATACAATGAATCGACTAAGTCGAACCGAGAAGCGTCAACGCAGGCTTTGAGCAGCGTGCTGTACGTGAATACATCGGGCTGGCATCGAGGCAGGGTTTTCATTTCATTAAGAATCGAAAAAGCCTCTTCGATGAGATTGTTCCGACAATAAGCCGCGAGAAAAGCAGTGTAGAGTTCAGCCGTGGGTTCCAATCCCTCTTCAAGCATTTCGTCGAATAGCTTGCGGGCACGTACGGGTTGTCCGGATTTGCCGAGAAGAACGAGTAGCTTCATGTAAGTTCCTTCCTTCGGTTGGTAAAATGGTTGCTCCCTCAACATGGCAAAAGCCTAAGATCATCATCAACAACAACAACAACAACCCAACTGAAGCAACTCATGTTTCACCGAGATACCCACACAACAGAAGCTAGAGGCCGCCATTTTTTCAGAACAAATTCAACTTCAGAACACCATTTTCACCTAAATTACAACTGATATGCAACCAAAGATAACTTCGATTCGGAAATTTGGGATAACAAGTTCGAGTTTCTCTGAACCGGAAAAGAAAAGACAGATATTGAATTGAATGACCTCGAGGGCTTGGAACCACTGCTTTTTCGCGATGAGATCAGACAAGGTCTCGGTGACGGTGTTGACCCATGCTTTGGAATTGATTTTTCGCTCCATTTTCTTCTTCACGTTCTTGATCGGTCCTCGTCTCGGGGCGATTGGCTCCGTGATTCCATGAAATTCTCCATCTTTCCAAAGCCTCTTCTTCGTAGCACCTCCCGAAGAAGATGAAGAAGCCGCCAAAACGCACCGTATGAAGCCCAAGTTTCTCTGGGAACGAATTATCCTATTTCCATCAGGAAGACGAGACGAACAGATGGAAGAAGAGAACGAGAGAGACATGGACACCATTGTCGTCCTCCTCCCTTCAGACAGCACTCTCTGTTACGGATAATTACTGAATCAACACTATCCCGGTTTTGTACGTACCAACGATAATTCCGGTTTGAAACCAAAACGTAACTAAACCGGAGTAATTCTAACGTACACTCGACTATGATCGCATACCATTTAAATTTGCATCAGAATGCACTTGGAGCCGAAAGTGTAAAACCAAACATGACAATATTATTCCACAAACAAATTACACGTCGTTCACTTACCTACAAATCTGAAAATGGCGTTTTCTTGGTCCAGAAACAACCTACAGTGCAAATGCAGAAACCCGAAACAACAATACAACCATGACAGACCTGTACAAAAACTCCTTCCCCATCGCAGTTGCAGACACCCTCCTCAGAGACAAAGTAACCATCTTCTTTCTCACATCATAAGAGTAAGACGAAACCTCTCTTTATTAGGAAACCGAAAACTACATAATCCAAACCCGGGAATGAGTACGGTCAAGCAATAGATCCAGAAAGCTTGGAACTTTTTCAAGATTCACTCCAAAAATCTGGCATCTTTCCGGTTTAATGGATCTGTGCTACAGAGCATTGTTCTGTACGGTATTATCCACCTTCTGGTCGTTGCAGTCACTCTTGTCAGTGTCAGTGCTGTTCCTTGGAGGCTCAGAATATGTCGTCCCTGTCTGATTCCTTCTTCTTCTCCTGTCCTGAATATAAAAAACTGCCCTTTTCAGCAATGGAAGTTCATAGATACAGAGGTGGGTGATTTCAAAGGTTTGAACTTTACTCTCGTGGTACCTCTCTAGGAATAGGGTATTCCTCAGATTCAAGCATACGTGCCACTTGGCTCATTTTCGGTCTTTTGTCAGCCATGGGATCAACACATCTCAAAGCCGTCAAGAGCGTTCGCTTTAGGGCACTGGTGGATGGCTTTGTTTCGAGGTTTGAGTCAATTACCTCCTCTGATCTCCTTTGTTGGACCATCATCTTCAACCATTCCACTAAATGTACCTTTGTTTCGATAACATCAACAGCCAATGAAAACGGAAATGTGATATGGAGGTTATTGGAGAAGATTGAAGGCAAGTTTTTCATGGACATACCTCGGGAGGTGGCCGAGCATAGTCTACAGGGTATCTTCCAGTTATGGCTTCTAAGAGTACAACTCCGAAACTGTAGACATCGCTCTTTTCGTTCAGAAGGCCAGAATTAGCATATTCCGGAGCAACGTATCTGAAACATCCATTGACAAAAACGAAAAAGGAAGTTGGTTCTCAAAACCAACAATGTCAAGCATCCATACACAAAAAAAAACTGTAAAAAGGAGACGTTAAAATACCCGAAGGTACCCATAACTCTGGTTGTTATGAAGTTTTTATCAGCACCAAGCAGCTTAGCAAGTCCAAAGTCAGATATTTTAGCATTGAAGTTCTCGTCGATTAGTATATTGCTAGATTTTATGTCTCTGTGCACTACTTTAGGCTCTATTGCCTCGTGAAGGTACGAAAGCCTGCATCACATCACCCATAATCTCAAGTGAGGATGAAGAAAGATACAAAACCGAGAGAAACGTGCAAATGATTCCTTACGCTTTGGCTGTTCCGATAAGAATTTTCAAACGGGCCTCCCATGTAAGAAATCCTTGATGGTGTTTGTCTCCCCGGAGCCATTGCTCCAGATTTCCATTGTTAACGTACTCATAAACCAACATCCTGAACTCAATGTCCAAAGAAAATTCCCAGTTAAGCAAATATACAGACTTTAGAAGAATATCCAAAGAACCTAAGGACAGGACATGCCTTTGAGTTCCCTCCATGCAATATCCCAGAAGACGGACCAAGTTTTTGTGGCGAACATGACCTATTGCCTCGACTTCTACTCTGAAGTCTTTGTCAGCTTGCCCTCTACATGAAAAAAACATCACCAATTACAATGTTCTATATAAATCAAACTCGAAAACGTTAAAGCAAAAAAAAGTGTTGTCACAACTTACAGGTTGTTGAGCAGCTTTTTGACGGCCACAGGAGTTCCATTAACAAGGGTTCCACGATAAACAACTCCATATCCTCCATCACCGATTATATTTTCCCTCGAGAACTGACTTGTGGCCATTTGAAGATCTCTCAGGGTGAACCAGTGACCCCATCCAAGGTGAGAAAACTCGGGCAGACCAGACAAGGGAGATGGAGCTGTCAATGGATTAGACGAAGATACACCCGACCCATCCTTTTTCTCCAAATTAGTGAAGGAGCCTGACCTGCTACTGCCATCTCCGTTCTCTGAGGTCGGGATTACCTTTTCTGGTTCGTTATCCCCATACTTATCACTAATTGAGGGAAGCCCGCCATTGCTAGACGAAACCTCATCAACCCTTATCTCCTTAATTTCCTCGGGGACACAAGGGATCTGGGATAGAGGGATTTGAATGGTAGCTCTTGACGTTTTCTTTCGGAACATAAGCCATAGTGATACAGCAAGAACTACTACAAACACCACAGCAAGAACAATCACAATGATTTCCCATAGCTCCAAACCATTGTAAGTCTTAGATAAGGTGTTGTCAAGATTAGATCCCATGTTTCTACCTGCAACAAAGATAGAACAACCAAGGAAATGAAAATTCGGAAACTCTATTGGGTCCTGTAACCATGAATTCTACTGCTTTAACGTAATGTATCCACTCATTTAAGGAAAATATAAGAATTCTTCCCAGACCCACATAAGAAATACACAAATCTTCACCGTGAATGGTCCTAAGCAAACAGAATATCTCTCTCTATCAGATTTGCACAAATCTTATATTCTTCAGAGCTCGGGCACAAAGGAACAATCACGAGACAAGATATCTAACAAAGACCGACAGAATCGGATTCATACATTCACATTATGCCTACAACCTGAGAAATCCCAGTTGCCTAATTTTCAGGTCTCAGACCAGACACCAGCTAAACAACAAGCTCCAAGAGAAACAAACAGGAAAAAATCAGCAGTTCAATTTCAACTTCCACCGACAACACAACTTCCGGAAACTACAGATAAACATCATAATCAAATCAGGAAAAAAAAAGAAAAAAAGAAAAAAGAAAATGCCGGGTCTCAGATGCATTGCTTGATGAGCATATCTGACCAACCACAGAATCCAAAAGTCTAAGACTTTCAGCATCAAACTAGAAACCCATTATCAGAATTAGGGTTCTTGGGCACTAAGACCAAACCTGATGGGCGAAAAATTTTTCCGGTATCAGAACGACATTGAGCAGAGGCAAGCGAGGATTCCTGTAATAAGACAGATCTCGTGCAACATTGTGTGGAAAATTTCCTGCTTTGGATCTTTGTAGGGTTCTCCACCTACAAAGAGACCCACAGCAGTGAAAAAAAAATCAAAGGACAAAAGAAAATCAAAATCTGGGTGGGAAAGATTGAAGCTTTACTTTGCTGTTCCAAGAAAAAAAATTATAAATAAATAAATTAGTTTTGAATTATTTAACTATTCCATCTGGCTTTTAGTATGGCTCCACGACGGGCATTTGTAATTTATAATTAGGTTTGGTCCGTTATGACATGAATTAAATATCTGATAATTATAAAATATCACAATTTTTAAAACCATGATTTTAAAGTTGTTAATTTTAAATTATAATTTAGATCTATATAATAGATGACATCTAAATTTTAGATATGTAAAAGACATTCAAATACTCACAGATATCTAAATTTAAACTAAATTATATAAAAAACAAATAGAAAAATATGTTTTAATTACCAAATATGAGCAGAAATCTAAAAGAATAAATAATTAAATAGAACTCTAAAGTTTCAAATCTAGTAAATATATTAAAATTAAAGAAATTGTTCAAAAATGTAATATATTCAAATATTTACACATCATATCTTTCAAATTTAAAATATATATTAAAACCTAAAAAAATCTTTTATTATTTATATTTAATCTAAAACATTCCAATATTCAAATTTCTAAAGTTGAATTTATGTTATATTTTGGATCAAACAAATTGATTGGATAATTTGTCCACCCCCTATCTGCAAAACGATGACCGACGATCAAGGGCTAGTCATTCCAAAAATCAAAATACAAAATAAATATTTCTTTTTTATTTTTTTTAAGTAAAATTGGAATATATATTATTTAAAATAAAAAAAAAACCGTGTAATTAATTCGATATCTCTATCATTCATTCCTCCGGCTGCTTCGAGCCAGCTTGGTCTGCATAGAATCACATTAGCCACCACAACGTGTCGTTTTCAGTCCTCCCAACCAATCGTATTCTGCCACGTGTTGCAGTAAGTGTTACCTTTTTCTTTAATCGCTTTGTAGTTTTTTTTTTTTGGAAAATATAAACATCTATATTCTTCTTTAACAAAAAAAAAATACCCATGTATATTTTTCCATATAGAGAATACGCGTATATGTGTCTTTGTGATTTTTATTTTTGGACAAAGTGTGTGCATATAAATATATAATTATCTGTGATTTGTATAAAAGTCCATAAAGGAAACAAGTCGAAATGATTACAGAAGAATTTTATGTGAGAGAGAAAAATAATTGGGAAAAGCATGAGAAAGTCAAAATAAAAACTGTCATCATAACAATTAAAATTACTATTCATTAACGTTTTTCGTATTTTTTTTTTCAGAATTATATTATGTGGAAACCGACAATTTAATTTTTGTTGGGTTCCTAAATTAGGGGGATACAGTTCTTTTGGTATAATTTCAATAGTCGGACCAAATGTGAATGCGTACCAAAGAAGAAAAAATATATATATAAATCGAATTCGACGTTTCAGAGAGATCAAAATCATGTAAAAAATTCTGCATGCCTTTGTGTATGAAAATGTATAAATATCTTAACTACGCTCATGGAGACGAAAATATTAATGCTCTACTCATTTTATATATTTAGGATTTTTATGTGATAAAAACAGGATTTAATGTCTTTTTTTTTAACTAAAATGTAAAATGTTGTATCTCACATAAATCCATGTGTATATATATATTGATACACACCGTATGACATGATTTTTATATAATTTTATGACTAAGAAGTTCATCAAAATAAAAAATAGTAATTATGAAAATTTATATTGTAGAAAATGATAATCCCTCCGTTTTATTTTAGTTGACGATTTATAACAAATTTTTTTGTTTCAAAATAAGTTACATTTTCGAATTTTTAATATACTTTTTAATATATATTTTTCCAAATTTACCCTTAATTAATAATACTTAAATATTCTGCATGTTTAGAGATAATAATAATAATTATGCAATAAATGGTCGTTATTTCACTGTTTTTTGCAATGATTAACAACAATTTTTTTATTGAAATCAAACGAACACAATTCCGATAATAATTCGTTATTAAAATCATTTGGCTACGGAAAAGTATAACATTTGGCAGTGATTTTGTCGTGCAATCGTATTTTTATTTTAAATATCGTATAAATTAATATCGACCGTTGAAAGTATTCGTATGAGCTACGAAGTTAACATTGTCCTCATTAGTCGGACGTCTTTTCCAATATCTATTTGGTTAAGTTTCATTTTCTGAAATAATTTTCATTCCGTCGGTGTTTACTAATTAAACTATAATTATTAATTTTAGATATAATGTGCATCCGATATTAAAATTAAAAACAAAAAAAAAGATATTAAAAGTTACACACACACATACACACATATATATATAGCCTTCATTTTTATACCATCGTATCATTAAATGCTGACAAAAATATACTTATCTATATATTAATCAAAACGTCGATTCCTATGTATAATCAGATATCATCAAACGATCCACTTTGACACATCATTCTATATATCACAACGTATAAAATCACTTTTAAATACGCGTCTTCTCATAATCTTCGCATAAATTATTAGATCACACGTATTTCTCAAACATTGCATGGATGCATGCATGCATGCATACATACATGTATGTATTATGTCTATATATATATACACACACACACACTAAATATGTTAATTAAACGTAACAATGTTAAAAGCTTTAAATTAATTATTAAGAAAAATACAAGCATGAATAATTTTCTGCAGTGACAACTTTAGATGTGATTCAACACAAATACTGTTTGGCATCGCAACAGTTGGATTTATTGGTCCACTAAAGATCCACCTTGATTATAAAAAAGACTAGTAATAATTTTAGTTTCATAATTATAGCCTCAATCATAGACAAATCTATATTATAAAAATATAATATTTATCCCCAATAAAAATATCATAATTATTTTAATTTATTTGGTTTTTATAAGCTCTACATAATTGTTTTGGTTTTGTGTTTTTTATTTATTTTAAATTTAAAGAATAAAATTAAATAAATAATATTATAGTAATAATTTTGTTTAGCTTTATTCTCATCTCATTCTATATATTGTGACTATACATCGCGAGAATTAGCATTGCTAAATTAGTGATGAGAATAAATTGTAAGGAAAAAGAACAAAGAAATCATTTGTCATTTTGTTGATTGAGTTAATCTCATATTATATTGACATAATTATCATATATTCATTAATTTGGATAAAATTCGATAATAAAACACGCCACTGCAAATTCAATATGGCAAAATCTGAGGTTACCCGGAGATTTTGTGGTTCGGAAATAAGATTTTGGGCAGAGGTTAAGGGGTCTAATCATCAAGTTGTCTCAATTGCACACTAATGACAGGTGATTATCATATAATTAAAGTAATCATTAATCAACGGGACCACTAAAAAAATTCTTAATGGTTAAGAAGTGACATAAAGTACAAATAAAGATTTATAAGGTACAAGTTGTAATTAACCGTATAAAAATATATATTATTATTTTTATTAAAGTAAACTTGTAGGGGTTCAGTACATTGATCATCCGAACATAACTGAACCACCAAAAACTGTTGTCCGAAGAAAGAGAGATTTATTCAATCATTGAAAACCAGATGCTAAAACGAAGTTTCTGCTTCAACCAAACGAGAAAGTGTGTGTTTTTTTTCCTTACACGGTCTTATGGGGAATCTCAGTGAACCAAAAAAAAAATAAAAAATCCAAGCTTTCTAGATGTGAATGGGCTTGTCGTAAGTGGCCATGGCGGCTTCCTTCAGGGCCTCGCTCATGGTCGGGTGAGCGTGGCAGACACGCGCTATATCCTCACTAGCCGCGTCGTAGTTGATGGCGAGAACCGCCTCGTGGATGAGCTCCCCGGCATTTGGAGCCATAATGTGAACCCCCAAGATCTTGTCGGAATCTTTGTCGGCTATCACCTTCACTATCCCTTCAGCGTCGTCGATCGCCTTTGCTCGGCTGTTGGCCAAGAACGGAAACTTACCGACTCGGTAACTCACGCCTTCTTTCTTCACCTGCTCTTCCGTCTTCCCGACCGAAGCCACCTCGGGATGAGTGTACACGACCCCGGGAACCTTGTCGTAGTCGACGTGGCCGTGCTTTCCGGCTATGAACTCGACGCAAGCAACTCCGTCTTCTTCCGCCTTGTGAGCCAGCATTGGACCTGGAATCACATCTCCAATGGCGTAAACACTAGGGACGTTAGTTGCAAATCTCTCATTCACCAGTATTCTCCCTGCTTTATCTGTTTCAACTCCAATCTTCTCGAGCCCAAGCCCAGCTGTGAACGGAGTTCTACCGGCCGAGACGAGGACGATATCGGCTTCGAGGGTGGTTTTCTCCCCGCCCTCTGCTGGCTCGAGGGTTAGTTTGACTCCGTCACCAGATGGGTCGACCCCGACAACCTTAGTCTTGAGCATGAACTTCATCTTCTGCTTCTCTAAACTGCGTTGAAACTGTTTCCGGATCTCTCCATCCATTGTCGGAACGATTTCGGGAGCAAACTCCACCACTGTGACCTCAGAACCGAGCCTTCCCCAGACAGAACCCATCTCGAGACCAATGTAGCCAGCCCCGATAACAACGAGTTTCTTCGGGATTTCTTTCAAAGCAAGAGCTCCGGTTGATGAAACAATCTTCTTCTCGTCGATGGTGACACCAGGAAGAGACTTGACATCAGACCCAGTGGCGATTATAATGTGTTTGCCTTTAACGACAGCGTTTTCACCATCGAGGGTGTCAACCGAGACCTCCATCGGGGAGATCAATTTTCCGTAACCTTTAACGTAGTTAACCTTGTTCTTCTTGAACAGACCCTCGATGCCTTTGGTCAGATTACCGACGGCTTTGTCTTTCTGAGCCATCATAGCCGGCAAGTCCACCTCTACCGACGAGAATTTCACGCCATGGCTTGGGAAGGAATGTTTGGCTTCATGGTACATGTGGGAAGAATGCAGAAGCGCCTAATGAACCAGAAGAAAAACAATACACAACAAGAATGAGGAACATTTCGTCGTGTAATTACCAAATCAAGATATCTACATACAGAATTTCGGATGTTCCGACTTGGAACAGAACTGGATAAATCCATTCCATAAAAGCCTGAAATACAACCGATTGAACTCAAAATTTCCGAAACCGAAACTCATCGAAACGAATAACTGAACCCATTTCAATAATCCAATAGCAGGGACCGATCCTAGAGCATCCAACCCGCGATATACCGATCCAAGATATTCATGTTTTTCTTTAAATCCCTAAAAAAAGCGAAGCTTTGGTACAAGAACACCCCTCCAAACCCATCAGCCGAAGAGAATTCAAGTTAAAAAGTGCGTTGAAGAATACAAAATCTCTCCAGAAAACGAATTGATACATGAACAATCCCCCTCCAATTCCATCAATTGAAGTCCAAAAATGTATCCCGGATTTGAATTCTCTCTAGAAAAACGAAGCTTTCATACCTGAACACTCCTTCAAATCCATCAGTAAAGGAGAATTCAAGTCCAAAAATGTATCCAGCCAGAATCAAATTATCTCCAAAAGGCGAAGGTTTTGATACACGGATACCGACCTAAATCCAAGAGTCGAAGAGAATTTGAATAAAGAAATTGCATCCCAGAATCAAAATCCATCTAAAAGACGAAGCTTTGATACGTGAACACCTCTACAGAGAATTCAATGCCAAAATGTACCGCACAATCAAAATCTATGAAACAATCTCTGACTCAAGACACCCCTCCAAACCCATTATTCCACGAGAATTCAAGTCCGAAATTCCATCGCGGAATCAATCACATCACAGAGATCAACCAAAATGCCACCTGATTTTTCCATCATCAACAGAGTGAAAAGAACCAAATCTAACCTTTGAAGGGATACAACCGACGTTGAGGCACGTACCACCGAGGGTACCACGTTTCTCGATGCAGGTTGTCTTCAGACCAAGCTGAGCCGCCTTGATCGCCGCCACGTAGCCTCCGGGACCGCCTCCGATGACGACGACGTCGTTCTCGTCAGATCCCGCCGAGGCGAATCCGCGGGAGAATCTCGCGAGCGAGAGAGAGAATCTCAGGGAATCCGCCGGAGAATTCGAGAGATTCCTCGTCAGTAGATATACTTTCCTTCTCGCCAAACTCGCCATCGCCATCTTTTCTTTAAGAAAAATCGATCTGAAAACTGCGGCTGTCGAAGGGACCAGAAAATGGCTGCCGGGGAATATATACTGACATTATGCAAACGCGCAGACACGTCAGCAGTATAATCAGGTGCCGACAAGTCTAGGCTATCGATCAATCGCAACCGTTGAATGTAGTGACCGACTCTAAAATGAACGGCTGATATTCTCCTATTGATGCTAAGTGAATCCTAGCCGTTTAATAAACAGGTCAAGATTGGCGTAATCGCGTGAGAGAAAAGTACAAGAGAATGTAATAATCCGACAAATAAGACAGGAAAAACCCTAAACGTGAGGGCCATTGTAAGTTAGAACAGACACTTCACTTTCTAACACAACTAAACAACACCTTCGCACAAGGCTCAAATCTTACAGTTACACAATATTTGATTATGGAAGGAAACAAAGAAAACTGTGAAAAAAGTTTCGATCTTTATCAAGAAATCGGAGATTTATTCGCAGCATGTGGAGTGGTTTCTCTGCAGCTTCTGCCATAGGCACAATAGCAGCCGAGGGCCTTGGTAATGAGCAAGAACGTAATCTGGCTCGCACCCCGAATTGTGGAACCGTTTATCGTTGACGTAGTTCACTGTCTGAACGGTCTGGTTGTATTGTTGAATCCATATGCCCATCGCAACATCTTCGAGCTTGAAAAACTTCAGAAAAACACAGAAAAAAGCAATGTCTCAATGACCATCTCGTTTGAGACTGTTTTGACGATGAGGAAGACAAGGGCAGAGGACAAGAACTCACTTTGAGATCTCCTCTTCGGTGACCCTTCACCACAAATTTTGCAATGTCTCGGGAAATGATGTAGCCCGGGCCATGCGCCCATGGAGGATATGAATCTCGAGGCCATTCCTTTACAGAGAAGGCGAAATAAGAGTCACTCAGAAGAGAATATGGGCAAAGATAGATATGAAAAGATGAACAGAAGGTGTCAACTACTACTAGTACTACCTCTTTACTGATGCACCATTTACTGCCTTGTTCACGGTCTGGTGATGCATCGAACGATATGAGACCGTGCAAGAGTGCTCTTGATGGTTTTTCTGCAAGACTCGATAGGAGTTCATCGATCCGGACAAAGGCATCGTCGTCTGTTTTCATAATGTAATTTGCTGGGATGACTTTGGTCTGCAATCAATATAGAGAAACAGAAGAAGAGAAAACCCCATTAGAGGGAGAGGATAGCATTGACCGAGCTTGACCAAAACCGATCTCATACTTCCATTCCATGTCTGTGTAAATATTCCTTACCCCGAGAATGCAGAGTGAGATTGTTTTCAGGCTAATTAGGCCATAGTAGTCAACAAAAGGCATGAACTGAATGTCCCCATACACTTGAGCTTCTCTCCACATCTCTAAGTTGGCTTGTGCATTCGTATGCTGTTCAAAACAGCAGTTAGAGACAGCATAGACCCGAGAAGAATTTGTACGCTCATATGACATGGGAAAAACGGTGACGGGAAAGATGACTCACGAGGCCAATGAGAAATCGAACGGCCACTTTCCCAGATCTTACTGCCTCATATTGCATCCAAGACTTTCTCAGTGCCATACGACGTTTAAAATTATTTCCAGTGGAGAAAACACCGATCAACAGCTCTAATCTTTGTCCAGAAAGAGACAGAGACGGAGCTTTAAGTTTCTCATCTATGGTTAAACCATAATCATCGGGAACGGGCAAGCCTGTGGCTAAGGCAGATAACAAGTTCAGACCACCAGACACTTTGACTGTGGTCACTGACCACGGCTCAAGATTCTGCATATAGATATACCGGTATCATCAACAAAGTACAAATCCTCAAACGAGCAAATTTCATATCACGTAAGGTACAGTTTCTTCACTCAAGAATAAAACTTATACGGTCATACCTTACCTCCCTGTAAGCAAATGACGTTTCATGCTGTCCGTTTACCGTCATATGAAAACCTTCTGACCCAACCCACAATGTGGCTGTGAACGAGTTATCTTTGAGAAACGGGAAATTACCATCTCCACCAGGAAAATTCATCGTTGTCTCACTACTGGGTCGGTTTTCATTCTGACTATCCTCCAAAATGCTTCTAACGGTTTGCTCGTTACAGAGCGAAAGCTCGTCAACTGCAATTTTATCCCAGGAAGGAGTTCAATTAGTATAGTGCATAGAACAAAAAGACATATAAGGCAGGAGTTGTAAATACCTCTTTGATTCTTCGATGATTCATGGCCAGGGCATCGTTCAGATTTACCCCATCCAAGCTGCTCGGTCCATGTATTTTGCACAATGGATTGCCCTTCTGCAATGCTATCACCACAAAAGCTCACATTGTAATTCAAGACAATGGGACTATTGGCTTTGCCTGATAGCTCTGCTCCAACGAGCTGAATCTGGAAACCCTTAGAATGTTCATCAGGAATTCCGACCACAGATATGGAGGAATCTTCGTTTAACCCACACGGAAGCTCCAGCACAGGCCTCAACCCCGACAAATCAGCATTATCACCCGAACGAACAGAAGCCAGACACTTTCTCATGTTGTCGCTTTCTGTATCTGAAACTCTCTTCTGTTCGTCAATCAGAAAAGCCAAACCTTTCCAGGCTAAAGCTCCCTCTTTGACCCCTTGAGCAGTTTCTGACAGAGCATCGGGCCTTGCGAGAACACTATGCAGATGAGACCAAACGAGTAATGCCTTCAACTCGTCCTTAGAAACGTTCTTACCCAAAAATAGATAATCAAGATCCTCGGGATTTGCAAAACGTGGCTTCTTCCCCGGTTCCCAAACTCTCTTGGATGATCTTACCCGAGAATCATCCACTGTGTGACTCATGGATACACTTTGATCAGATTCGGATTGCTTCTCTGGCCGATTTTCTAAAGCACCATATCTGATGACTAAGACCACGGCAAGAACCATGATAAACATGCCTCCCGACCACTTCCTCATTCTGAGAGAAGTGAAAACCGGTTTTAGTTTCCACATCTCCATGAAATTACATCACAACCACATCAACAGTGAAGTGAATCCAGAAACAACAAACTGAAACACAAAACCCACAAACAAAAAAGAGAGTTCAGTCAGTGCAGTTCACTAGTTGATCCAAAACCTAACAACTGTCCTAAAACTCCGGATTCAGTAAAAGATAAAAAAAAAATATCAATAAAAATCCGGTCTTTACACACAAATTTCACAGAAGCAAAATCTGGGATGGTGTGAGGAGACCCAGAAGCAAAACAAGCGAGAACAAGACAAAACTTACGAACTGAGAAACCAACGAGAGACATAACTTAAGGAACATCTCCAACATTAACAGCTACTGTTCCAAGAGCTAGAAATTAGGGTTCATCGTTTAGAAAGCTTACCCATTTCTCGATGATCTCTAATGATTTTGATCCAGGGTCAATCATTTTGCAGCTAAAGAACGCAAGAGAGGCAAAGGGATAATTTTTGTGGATCTTGCCACGAAGAAAGAAACGGTGTCGTTTAGAAGCCAACTGGTACGACGCCGTTTCAGAGTTTAAATATCCCACAGGAATGTTGTGGGCCCACCTTGTGTCAACTAATAAAATTATCAATACATATGGATTATAATGTCATGTATAATCAATATCAGATCTACATAATTTTTCATATATTTTATATCAAAACAATATTATATGCATACAGTGCCATTAATTTAGATATATGTATAGAAAATCGGACATTGTAGATAAACATATATAAGGAACATAACACTGATGACGTCACTCTCATTTTCTTCTTTCGTCAATTTCACAAGAGATTAAAATGGAAATAAAAAACTATCCACACTTTCCTAAATTGGAAAGTCTCGACTCTCCGGCGGCGGTTCGAGGGCTGAACGGCGATCTTCCGGCGACGGCAGAGCGAGGACTAAGCTCTACTCCTCTGATTTCACTAAAGCTCCGAATGTACACTTTTTCTGACACCCTCGGGTTCTGGAAACTCACCACTCGCCGCATCGTCTCGCTTCCTCCGGCAGCCGTCGCTCCGCCGCCGCCATGGGAAAAACGGTGACGGGAAAGATGACTCACGAGGCCAATGAGAAATCGAACGGCCACTTTCCCAGATCTTACTGCCTCATATTGCATCCAAGACTTTCTCAGTGCCATACGACGTTTAAAATTATTTCCAGTGGAGAAAACACCGATCAACAGCTCTAATCTTTGTCCAGAAAGAGACAGAGACGGAGCTTTAAGTTTCTCATCTATGGTTAAACCATAATCATCGGGAACGGGCAAGCCTGTGGCTAAGGCAGATAACAAGTTCAGACCACCAGACACTTTGACTGTGGTCACTGACCACGGCTCAAGATTCTGCATATAGATATACCGGTATCATCAACAAAGTACAAATCCTCAAACGAGCAAATTTCATATCACGTAAGGTACAGTTTCTTCACTCAAGAATAAAACTTATACGGTCATACCTTACCTCCCTGTAAGCAAATGACTCCTCTGCTTCTAGTGATCATCCCGTCCATTACCTCTCCGCTGTCAGCAAACGACGTCGCTCGGCTAACTTCCCCTTCCTGAGCTCCAAACCATGAAAAGCAATTATCATTTATTCATCCATTGGCTAAGTTTGCAATCTCAGAAGCGAAAGCTGGATCTGTATCCATTCTAGACGCTATCGAGATGTCCGAAATCAATGGAAGAGCACTGAGGTAATTTCCGACCAGAGATATACACACATAAACAAGCATATGAATCACAGGGTTGTTTGTTACCGTTGTGAGGTTGAATGATAACAAGGCAGGAGCTTCTTCATACTCTGCAGCATCCAAGTCTTGAAGATGAACACCTTTGAAGAACTTAGGCAATATGTACTGTCTGACAGGAACCAGAAGCATGATCATCAACGGGAACAGAACTCCAGCGATCGGAACCCATGTAATCCCGAAGCACACAAGCAAGTACACCGTCTGAAAAACTGTGAACATCGCTATCGTCTTGAACGGGACCGTCTCGACAAATGCAGCATGGTTATCCTCCAAAACCCTGACAAAAATGGCATGGATCTGATGTAATGGAAGCTTTTAGGAAGGATAAGAAATCTGAATACTGATTGGGAAAGAGGGGTTATTACTTGAATCGCCTACTCGGGGCAGTGAAGAGAAGTAAGATCCTTTCCCAGAATTGGTTGCCCGGTAAGCTTTCGATGGCCATGAATGCAAAGTATCCCCAAAGAACAGAACTTGGGATCTTTCTTATCAGTGGCATGGCTCCAACACATCCACCCACCATCAGGGCTTGAAGCAAGTTGCTTAGCCGCTGTTCTTTTACTTCAACCGGCAATATATTGTCAATCTCTTTCTCCACATCGAACACCGTCTCATCAACTGGTTCATCTGAGTTTCCTAGGCTCGAACCCATCTGAATAGTTGACTCCCTCAATGCTTTGAGACCCTATACAAGCAGATTCAGCCCCGGTATTTGGTCAGGACAGAGTCAGTCTGATGATGTCCTAATGTACAGACATACCCGAGAAGAAGGCTCCTGGTATATGAGAGGGCTCTGCATTTGTTGGTAAGCCTCTTCCATGCTTCCGAAAACTTGTCCTAAACTTGCGTTATTCCTCATGCACTTACGCGCCACTGCCACTAGTTTACTACGGAGTAACTGCAAAAGTGACGACGGGATGGTACAATCAAATCTGCAGATACATTATAAACACGCAGACACAAGTGATTTCAGCGGTATGAACCTGATGTTTCAGTGTTGCCAAGCTTTTTGTGTGCATTGGAGATTGCGGGATGACACCATTTGATGGAGGAATTCCGACGAGGCCACAGAAGATAGTCTGCAAACAGCGGAATTTACGTTCTTATTTGTAAAACTGTCATCAATCAGTAAAGAAATCAGAGATCTCTGCATATGGATTATCTTCAAGAAACACGGGAACAATGCACGAGAATTCAACCCGTACCAAGAAACCAAGAAGAAGCAGATCGTAATGGAAAGAGGGTGGCTTTCTCAGATTGAAATCTTTCTGCTGGGCAAGCTGTGAAGCTACGCCGTGATCAAAGTAGTAAAGAACAGCTATCATTGTGGCTGGAACGAACGCTCCAATAATGTAAAGAACCGGCACATCCAGCATGTCCTGCAAGTTTATCTTCTACGTATTAACAGAAGTTGTCAAGAAACAGAAGGAAGATACAAGTATAAAGGAAATAATTGGTGCCTTTAGGACTGTCCAATTCTCAAATGCACCGGGAGACCATGGGTTGGGGCTGAAGAGACGTCTAGGGATTCCTTGAGGAACACTTCTCCCGGGTATGTATGAGACAGCGGTCCACACAACAACCATCAATGGCACACCATAATCTGCTATAAGTCCTCTTAACCAACCTGAAATCACATGAAAACCAAATATATCTTGAGCTTCTTGTTGGAAAAGCTCTGGGTTTTATGCAGGAAAGATTCACTCCCAATGTGAAGAATAAGCCCTTGGAAGCCAGGACGGGCTTAAGGTTCCTTACCAGCACCATATCTCCAAGACCTTGCTTTCCGACTCTTCAGGGCCGTTATCAGAAGTCCAAAAGACAAGACCAAAGCAAACATTCCGTTCGCGAATAGCCATGAAGGTTGAAATTCAATTGACCTCGGGTTCGCCCCTCCTGGCACACGAAATTCATCCACAATGCCCTGAAAGCCAAGTTTCAACATGGCATCAGTAAGGTTTGATTTGAGCATCGTAAGGAGGTATTTTCTCTCGAAAGACAGGCCTCCGTGTCTGTGACCAGACAACAGGGTTTTAACAGGTGCATCTGAAAAATGTATTTATGTTTGTTTGAACATGAGGGCCACTGCTATTTTCTCGGGTGCACCAGTCAAGCCCTAAGGCCATAGTCCTCGATCATTTCAAGTTCTCTAAGTCGATGTATGTAATGGAAAAGTAATGCACTTTACTTACTCTAACAGCTTCTTGCATGAATAGCAGTGCGATTAGAAGTCCGAAAAGTTCACCAGCAAGGCGAGTGAATCTATTGATAATGGAGCAAGCGCCCAATATAGCCAGCAAGAACAACAACAGACCGGTCCACAAGCAAACCCTTCGAGAATCATAGATAAAAGCCTCATAAAGTCTGCAACTTTAGCTTCTTGGAAGGAATGAATCAACACCGAAGAAAGTTGCATACCATCCAGTCCAAGCGAGAAAAAGATCAGAGCCCAAATCTGGTATACTCTTCGCGAATTTGAACATGAAAGTGTACATTATCACAGTAGGCTCTGCGACTCCAAGGATCAACAATGGCTGCCCTCCAATAAGCGAGTGTATTACCCCGCATAAGGCTGTTGAAGCTAACGTCTGAACACCAGTGAGCTTCCCATCTGCCATTTTCAAGAAACAGGTGCATTTCTACAGTTTTCTGTTATACATCAAAAGCCTAAATGGTTAAAAGAAATGAGCCAAACGTTGTAAGAGGCTGTGCACCTGTATCTCTTTCCAACTGTTCTCCGAATGTAACAACTGGTATTGCTGAAGCAAAGAATATGTACATGGTCGGTGCTAAGATCCTGTACAAGTAAATCAAAGTTTGTAAGGACAGATATAAAGAGAGGAGAAATTTTTGCAGAGACGGGAAAGATGTAAAGATACCTGAAGCCTGCTCTGAGGCCACTGGTCCAGTCCTGTTTGTAACATCTGAGTCTCCCTTCGATATCGTTCTTTATGCCTCGAAACGGGACAAAGCTCTCTGTCTCTTCCATTTTGTTTCAGATTTTTTTTTGCTTGTCTTTGATATCCTTTACAATTTGCAGAGGAGATAATGTTATTATATATGAAAATCCATGGCAGGAGAATTGGAACAGAACTCTGAATGAAAGATTCAGACAAAACTATTAGCTTCCTGAAATCATGTCAGCAACAGAAGAAGCAAAAGCTGTAGTTGTTGAAAATGAACAGACTTTAGTTCTAAGTTGATAAGAACATGCAAATCTGTAAGCTTGGAACATCAAAACTAAGATCTCAAGCACAAGCAAACATCACACTCTTT